GTTGCCTTGACAACCGTATTGGCTGCTACACAAGCAGAAATAATGCCTCAAATTAGGTGATTAAGGTAGTACGTGGAGAGAATGACTGCCATGGCAGACAAGGGTGGGACACTGTGCTGCGGGCCTCCCACTTAGCCACCACTGGTGTTTCAGTAGGCTCACTCTTCCCAGAATCCACTCAAAGTACCAAGAGGAGGAGGGTACTGGGCTGCCCTCAGCCAGGCGTCACTAGTCCTAAGGCAGGGTACCAACATGTAGCCCTGTTGACTGAGCTGCAAAGGAGGCTGAGACACGGAGGACCTATTTCCCACTAAGATTCAGGAGGGGAAGTAAGATCAACATCAAAGAAAAGAACGAACTCTCACATGTGAAGAGAAGCAATCAGAATTATCCCACAAGTCCATCAGGACTAATCTTGGTTTGTTTGCCAGGCAGCTAGAAATGAGACCAACTTTGTCCCTCCTAGGAGGGATGTGCTTAAGCATCCCCTCAGGGAGACTTCTTCCCCTGAGCCTGAGGAGATACAGCTTCCCATGGGCTCTAAGGATTCCACATGCTAGCAGCTATACTTACCAGAATTTGGTGCACATGGTTCAGACTGTCTATTGCCAAGTGTTCTGCTTATCCAAATTGATGATCCCATCCACACCATCAAAAGAAAAAGAAATGAAGCAGGATCATTATAGTGGAAGAAGAAAACTTTTAGCTCACATCCTCCTACAAACTCACCAAAACAACTGAAATGGAACAGGACTCTATTGCCCTTGCCTTCTGCCTTTTGTCTGTGGAATAACTTTAGACAAAGAATAACTTTAATCAGGGAAGTGAGGAAAATACAGAAACAAAGGAAAACACAGCTAAATAATAGGAGTTTAGTCATTAAGAAAAGTCAAGGGCTTCAGTTCTTTCTCAAGGGCTGTAGATAATATTCTGAGTCATATCCTGTGAGCTGTCTTACAGACAATGGAACCTCCACTTGGTGGAAGAAGTAAGCCACAGGAGGACCAGACTGTAGCCATGACATAATCTGCCACAATTAAAATAATCAACCTCAAGGAAATAGAAAAAAAAAAAAAAACACCAACCCTGGAACTAAAGATTAACTATACCTTTAGCAGTTAACATGACTCTGGTCAGATCATTGATGACAATTTCAAGATAACTGTCAGAGATGACTATGCTGTTTCTGAAAGCAGCCTTTTTCGTCTGTCTATAAAAGGTCTTGCCAATGACTGCTGAAGGGGAAGTAGGCCTTTGGACCAATGCCCACCCTTTTCTACAATTAAAACATAAAGAAAAATGCACATTGAAATGAGTAGGGGGGCAGAGACTCAATCTAGCCAGGACCCACACTCCCAGTAGGGAGTCCAAAAGATGAAGGGGGTATAACAAATGTGGAGGTCCTCACCAAGGAGTGATGAGTTCAAGCCTCACATACGGCACATCAGCTCCAGAGTGCAACACTGGTAAATCCAGCCTCCTTAACTGGTTTTAAAAAACAGTCAGGCTTATGACTTGAAAAACCAGAGAGGTGTAAGAAACTGAGACTCTGCTCTTAAAAAACACATATACAACTTACTTGCTTCCAGGCCCAGAGCAGAGGCAACCTGCACTCCAGCTGACCTGCCAAGATGAGTCCAGGATGGACCCTTACCCATACTCTCCTCCAGCTCCAGCCCTCCTGTCAAGGCTGTGGCCTCCTTGGACAGCAAGGAAATCAAACCAGTCAATAAAGGAAATCAACTCTGGATATGCATTGGAAGGACTGTTGCTGAAGCTGATGCTCTAATATTTTGTCCACCTGATACAAAGAGATGACTCATTGGAAAAGAACCTAATGCTAGGAAAGATTGAAGGCAAAAGAAGGGAGTGGCAGAAGATATGAGATAGTTAGACAGTATCACTGACTCAGTGGAATTGAGTTTGAGCAAACTTCAGGAGATGGTGAAGAAAGGGAAGCCTGGCATGTTGCAGCTCATGGGGTCACAAAGAGTCAGATATGACTTAATGATTGAACAAAAAAACTCATAAAGAGTGTGGAATCTCACTCCCATTCTTACAATGAAAAAGCTGGACAACATAAAAATCAATGGTTTTCCTTGAATGCAGAAGACAGCTAAGTTCCCAAGATAAAATGGCACCCCCAAATATGCTAGATAAGTGTACCAGGGAGATAGTTAAGATCTGCATATTGGAAGAGAAGCTGCTGGGGTCAGAAGCTGGTAGGGGCACTTAAGTGCCAAGTGTGATGAATTGCTGTAGATGAGCATGGACAGCATGAGACTAAGAAACTCATAGAAAGTAATATCTATACCTCCAGGAATCCCACCAGATTTCCACTGTGCAGCTGTGAAGACAGTACTCTCTTGGCTCTGGCAAGAGACGGAAAGGAGCAAGCACTGTGAAAGAGGCCCAGAGTCTTCTCCACGGTGAAGACCTGCATTTCCAGGAAGAAGACTGCCAGAACATTACCTGTCCTGGGGATAAGACATTCATTTCCCTCCAGCCTGCTTTAGCCTCTGTCTCATCTAACAGGGATCAGGTCTTCAAGGAAATAGTATGGGAAACCTGCAGTCCTGGCAGGGACTAGGAGTGAGAGGCTGATGGGTGGGAAGCTAAACTAAGGGAGAAACAAGGCACTGAGATTCGATCAGAAGATTATAGAATGCTCCATCCTCCACCCCAACGTCCTGCAACATCACCAAGGCTCCAGTGTGACCACAGAGAATTGTTGTTAGGGTTGAAAGGCACTGACTCTGAGGAAGAGTACCTAAGGAACCCCTAAGCAAAGAGAGAAAATTTTAAAAAGCCACTTAGAGGACTCTGAAGCCTCTACCACCTTCAACTATAGTGAGCTTTAAACACAGTTTAATTCCCAGCAGGAAAAACATAAATCCCCATGTTAAAGGCCTATGTACCTCAGTTCCTGTTACCTAAGAAAACATGTCTGACTTCCAATAGGGGAAAAAAAGGTACATCAAATGCAAAAAAAGAGACAAAGCAAAAAAGAAAGCTATCATTAAGAATCTGACTCAAATGTTGGATATCAACACAAAATTTAAAATAACTAGAATTAACAGGCTGTTGGCTTTACTAGGAAAAGTAAACAATATGAAAAACACATATACTATGAGGTAACTTTAAGAAAAAAACTGAAAAGATATGCTAGAAATCAAAATCATTGAATTAAAAGAGATTCATGTTGATGTTTGGCAGAAACAAGCAAAATACTGTAAACCAATTATCCTCCAATTAAAAATAAACAAATTTAATTAATAAAAAAATAAAAGAAAACATACCTTTGATAGACTCATCAGTCAAATGGACATGGATGAGGGAAACAAATCATTGAACTTGATGATATGTTAATAACAATTTCTCAAACAAAAATGCAAAGAGAAGAAAGCATGCGGAAAAATCCACATAAATACAAAACATTCAAGAACCATTGGGCAATTTCAAGTGGTTTATGATACATGAAATTGAAATATCAGAAATAGGCAGAACAGAGCAGAAGAAATGTTTGAAATAATGTCCAAATGCATCTCCAATCAATGATAGACACCAAATTACAAATCCAAAAAGTTCGGAGAACACCAAGTAAAATAAATACCAACACACACACACACACACACACACACACACAGAGGAATGTCACATGTAGCTTAAATAGAACTAAAAATAAAAAGAAAATCTAAAAAAAAAAAAACAGAGTTAAAACAACAAAAGAATAACAATTATATGATACCACACATCAGAGACCAAACAAATCAGAAAAAATGGAATATTATTTGTGTTGAAAGAAAAAAAAGCACACAACAACATCCAATTCTGTATTATACCAAATTAACATTTAAAGTGAAAGTGCCATACATATTTTCTTACACAAAGGGAACAGACTGATGGTTTGACTTAACTCTTTTCTACAACCACTCAGTTCTAACCTTCAAAGAGTTTGCAATTATCAATAATACATATGTTATACATGAACTGATTATCTATTTACCTACGTACCTATCTAATCAGTTAGCTCTTTAGATATCCAATATCACTTTATTTATCCACTTACTGATGTGTCTATTTATATATCTGTCCACTAACAGTTTTCTGCCTTTCTAGTTTTCCATCATTACCTACTTCTGAGTATTGTAGTGGGGGAAAAAAAAAAACACTCCGGAGATAAGAGACTGAAGGATCTACAAGATTTATTTGTACTAAGCAGATTCTACTACCTCCACCAGGTCTTTATAGAAAATCATGTATAAAGAAAACTTCTGAGCTAGCAGATAAGGACAACTGTTCTAGCGGCACACTGTACCTCTAATGACAATTAATGGAATTTTTAATGTGTTACTGTATCTACTTGGATCAGTGTTTTCCTGCTTTGGTTCTGTAAGTCTCAGATACTACTTATATAGTTCAAAGAAATATGAAAATTTCGTCATTTAATAAAAATTCATCATTAAAATAATACAATAATAATATAACTATAAAAAATAATCAATGCATGTGAATAGAAGTGATATAATATAATGTAAATAGGATTCTTTACCATTTTTCTTAAGAAAGGAATGTAACATACATATAAGAAATTATATATAGATTTTTGGAGAAGTGGGACCACGCTTTGTGGGCTGCAACATGGAGGCGACTGGTGGAACTGAGGAGTTGGTTTCCGGGGAACTGGTGTCAGTGGCACATGCTCTTTCTCTCCCAGCCGAGTCTTATGGCAACGATCCTGATATGGAGATGGCTTGGGCCCTGAGAGCAATGCAGCATGCTGAAATCTACTACAAAGGGATCTTCCCAACCCAGGGATCGAACCTGGGCCTTCCGCATTGGAGGCCGATGATTTAACCTCTGAGCCACCAGGGAAGCCCCTGCTGCTGCTGCTGCTGCTGCTGCTGCTGCTGCTGCTGCTAAGTCTCTTCAGTCGTGTCCGACTGTGCGACCCCAGAGACGGCAGTCCACCAGGCTCCCCAGTCCCTGGGATTCTCCAGCTGATTTCATCAGTTGACCCACAGTTTCTGAAACTCACCAAAGTGGATGACCAAATCTATTCTGGGTTTCAGGAAAATTTTAAGAATCTCAGGATAGATATACTGGATCCAGAAGAACTCAAATCAGAAACAGCTAAAGAGAAGTGGAGGCCATTCTCCTTGAAGTTCGATGGGATTGTGGAAGACTTCAACTATGGTCCTTTGCTGCGACTGAACTGTTCACAGGGCTACACTGAAGAAAACACCATCTTTGCACCCAGGATACAATTTTTTGCCATTGAAATTGCTCGGAATCAAGAAGGTTATAACAAAGCAGTTTATACTGGTATTAAGGACAAAGAAGAGAAAGAAGCCAGCAATGGAGGAGACAAAGGAGCCAACAGCAGAGAAGAAGAAAAAGGAACCAACAGAGAAGGAGAAAAAAAGAAAGAAGCCTACAAAGAAATCAACAAAAGTAGTGAAACAACTATGTGAGGTAGTCAGGGAACAGCACTCTAGAAGGTATGATTCGTGAGTCTGCAAGTACCATGTTGCTACTTGCACAGGTCCCTGTGGTCAAATGTATTAATATCTCCTTTTTTAGTGGAAGGATATGCAGAAGGACATCTTTCTGGCCTAATTATCAGAAACTGTGGTTGTTCTCTTGTGTGAACTGACTTGAAGTAGTGGGGTCTTAGTTGATGGTTTGTTGGTTCTCACCACCAGTCAAGTAAGAAATTATGTAAATAAATTTCTTTTAGTTCTTATAAAAAAAAGAAATTATATATAAATTGCTGTAAGTTGGAGTAGTTTGATTTCCACTGTAGCTGCTTTATGTGGAAATGGGGACTTAAAATTGTACTTTCTATTGTAAGTTATTTCTGATCTCCACACCTCTTAAAAAATACAGGCTCTCGGTCACTAGAAGTCTGCAAATACATTCATGGAAAATCCATATTTCGTTTGTATTGGAAGTATTTTCAACTGATGTAGCATTATCAGTTGTCTTATGAAGATCAGTTAAAATTAAAAATATCTTTTCTTAATCAACTATAAATATAATTTTTTTACACAGGTATATTACCTTTCAGAGGGGCTTGCCAGGTGGTTCTAGTGGTTAAGAACCTGCCTGTCAGTGCCAGAGACTTGAAAATTGGGAAATTTTCAAATTGGGAAAGGAGTATATCAAGACTATATATTGTCACCATGTTTATTTAACTTATATGCAGAGTACATCATGTGAAATGCCAGGCTAGATGAAGCACAGTCTGGAATCAAGATTTCCAGGAGAAATATCAATAACTTCAGATATGCAGATGACACACCTTTATGGCAGAAAGCAAAGAGGAACCAGAGAGCCTCCTGATGAAAGTGAAAGAGGAGCATGAAAAAGTTGGCTTAAAACTCAACATTCAGAAAACTAAGATCATGGCATCTAATCCCATCACCTCATGGCAAATAGATGGGGAAACAATGGAACCAGTGAGAGAATTTATTTTCTTGGGCTCCAAAAATCACTGCAGATGGTGACTAAAGCCATGAAATTAAAATATGCTTGTTCCTTAGAAGAAAAGTTATGACCACATAGACAGAATGTTAAAAAGCAGAGAGACATTATTTTACTGATGAAGGTCCATCTAATCAAAGCTTTGGTTTTTCCAGTGGTCATGTATAGATGTGAAAGTTGGACCTTAATAAAAGAAAGCTGAGAGCTGAAGAACTGATGCTTTTGAACTGTGTGGTGTAGAAGACTCTTGAGAGTCCTGGGACTGCAAGGAGATCAAACAAGTCAATCCTAAAGGAAATCAATACTGAATATTTATTGGAAGGACTGGTGTGAAACTGAAGCTCCTACACTTTGGCCATCTGATTCAAAGAACTGACTTATTGAAAAAGACCTTGATGCTGGGAAAGATTAAAGGCAAGAGGAAAAGGGGACAGCAATGGATGAGATGGTTGAGATGGCATCACCAACTCAATGGAAATGAATTTGAGCAAGCTCCAGGAGTTGATGATGGACAGGGAGGCCTGGCAGGTTGCAGTCCATGGGGTCACAAAGAGTCTGACATGACTAAGTGACTAAACTGTCCAAAGGGTAAGTGTTACCAGCAATGACAGTTCAGATACATTGAAGAACTATATATATTGGTTGTTGAATACAGTGAAGTTAATAGGACATGTTTAAATGTGGGCATACTTAGAGCAGAATACATTGCATACCAACTCAATTCCATTCATCCATGATGTCAACTATTACACCTGACAAATTCACTTCCCAGAACACCTAACCAAGAAGGCAGGTAAAATTGTTAACATCAGCACCATCTTCAAGGAAGTACTCACTTGCTGTGGTTGTCAGCTCACAGCTTAATGTTCCAAGAATTTCAAGAATCTCAAGAGAATCATTAATCGTTATGGAAAAGAGACAGTCATGTTTTGCCATCCCAGACATGTCTGTACTTTTCATAGTTTGTCATTAGACAACTTGTCCCATCTCAATTTTGCTTAAAGCACTTGCTTTGTAACTGAAAATACAATCATTTCCTCATTCTTCATAGCTTTGTAATTTTTCTTACATTTACTGTTTTTGGATTTCTCTTTATATTCAATTTCTTTTAAAATCTCATTTCTTTTTCAACTTTATACCACTTTACCTAATATTTTTTTTCATTTTCTTTCATATATTCAATCAATCCATTCTTTATGTCTTCCAGACAATTAAGACAGATTTTATGACTATAAGATCAAATAATCAAGCATAATAATAAACATGCACCCCAGAGAAGCCAGAGGTTTGAAACTTAAGACCTGGAGTCTTTGGAGAACCCTGAGGGTGGAGTCAGTTTTGCACAAGCTCCAGTGTACTTGCCACCACATGGATGGGATGTATTATAAATTCTACACTTTCCCTTTCTTCACTGTCTCTGATGTGAATCAGTATCATATATCATATGTGTGTCTTTCTGGGTTTTATACTTGATTCTCATTTATTTAAACTCATCTTTCCCTGTCTCTGAGTAAAATTACACCTTTCTTCTTTCTAATCTTATAAATTTGAAATTTTACCAGTACCTGTGGACCAATTTTAATTCTTTATGCTCTGCCTGCCTTAGTCTTTCATGTTGAAAGCTCACTGTGCCTCTCTATAGTATCCTGAGATCATTATTATTATTATTATGGTTTCCATTCTTTTTTTTGTCCTTCTCTGGACTGCTTGTGGACAAATATTTTATTTTCTAACTTTTGTACTTCATTATATGTGTTCATATCCCCATCTCCTGATTATTTTCCTCTGTGTTCCCAAGGGTAGGAGAGGCAAAATTTGCCACCCCAAAATATCTTTTATGCATGTGGATTATTTCAAATGGAAAGCAATCAAGCCCTAAAAGACTCAAGAAGCATCTTTGACCTTCCCTCTAAACTGCCTAAAGGATGTAGATAGTGGACATAGTCAAGAAAGGTAGCTGTCAGCATAGATAACCATACGACTCACCTTTCTCCCCCTTGAAGTCCCAAACCACTACCCACAGCATCCTTTTTTGTTGTTGTTGTTCTGTTTGTTTGTTTTTACTTGAATATGTTATTTAAGATGAGGTTTTAGCCATTGTGACTTTACTCAGTTTTTCTGTCTCTCTCTCTCTCGTATTAATATATATATGATATTAATATTCTGTTAGATTCTCCCTGTTAATCTACCTCATATCAATTTAATTCTTAGATCAGCCAGAAGAACCTAGAAAGGGAGAGAAAAATTTCTTCCCCCCGACAATGAAAGTGAAAGTTGCTCAGTCGTGTTGACTCTTTGACACTCCTTGGACTGTACAGTCTTTGGAATTCTCCAGGCCAGAATACTAGAGTGGGTAGCTGGTCCCTTTTCCAGGGTATCTTCCCAGCCCAGGTAACAAATTCAGGTCTCCTACATTGCAGGTGGATCCTTTTACCACCTGAGCCACAAGTGAAGCCACTCTCTGACAATCAGTCAGTCAGTCAGTTCAGTCACGCAGACCTGTCCGACTCTTTGCGACCCCATGAATCGAATCGCAGCATGCCAGGCCTCCCTGTCCATCACAAACTCCAGGAGTTTACTCAGACTCATGTCCATCTAGTCAGTGATGCCAAACAGCCATCTGTGGTCCCATTCTGCTCTTGCCCCCAATACCTCCAAGCATCAGGATCTTTTCCAATGAGTCAAGTCTTCACATGAAGTGGCCAAAGTATTGGAGTTTCAGTTTCAGCATCAGTCCTTCCAAGGAACACCCAGGACTGATCTCCTTCAGGATGGACTGGTTGGATCTCCTTGCAGTCCAAGGGACTCTCAAGAGTCTTCTCCAACACCACAGTTCAAAAGCATCAATTTTTTGGTGCTCAGCTTTCTTCACAGTCTAACTCTCACATCCATATATGACCACTGGAAAAACCATACCCTTGACCAGATAGACCTTTGTTGGGAAAGAAATGTCTCTGCTTTTTAATATGCTATCTAGGTTCGTTATAAATTTCCTTCCAAGGAGTAAGCATCTTTTAATTTCATGGCTGCAATCACCATCTGCAGTGATGCTGGAGCCCAAAAATTAAAATCTGACGCTGTTTCCACTGTCTCCCCGTCAATTTACCACGAGGTGATGGGACCGTATGCCATGATCTTAGTTTTCTGAATGCTGAGCTTTAAGCCAACTTTTTCACTCTCCTCTTTCACTTTTATCAAGAGGCTTTTTAGTTCCTCTTCACTCTCTGCCATAAGGGTGGCGTCATCTGCATATCTGAGGTTATTGATATTTCTCCCGGCAATCTTGATTCCAGGTTGTGCTTCTTCCAGCCCATCATTTCTCATGATGTACTCTGCATATAAGTTAAATAAGCAGGGTGATAGTATACAGGCTTGAAGTACTCCTTTTCCTATTTGGAACCAGTCTGTTGTTCCATGTCCTGTTCTTACTGTTGTTTCCTGACCTGCATACAGGATTCTAAAGAGACAGGTCAGGTGGTCTGGTATTCCAATCTCCTTCAGAATTTTCCACAGTTTATTGTGATCCACACAGTCGAAGGCTTTGGCATAGTCAATAAAGCAGAAATAGATGTTTTATGGAACTCTCTTGCTTTTTTGATGATCCAGCGGATATTGGCAATTTGATCTCTGGGTCCTCTGCCTTTTCTAAAACCAGCTTGAACATCTGGAAGTTCACGGTTCATGTATTGCTGAAGCCTGGCTTGGAGAATTTTGAGAATTACTTTTCTAGCATGTGAGGTGAGTGCAATTGTGTAGTAGTTTGAGCATTCTTTGGCATTGCCTTCTTAGAGATTGCAATAAAAATGGACCTTTCCCAGTCTTGTGGACACTGCTGAGTTTTCCAAATTGGCTGGCATATTGAGTGCAGCACTTTCACAACATCATCTTTCAGGATTTAAAATAGCTCTACTGGAATTCCATCACATCCACTAGCTTTGTCCATAGTGATGTTTATAAGGCTCACCTGACTTCACATTTCAGGATGTCT